AGAAAAGGAAACTTAAGCATAGGAAGTGAGCTACCCAAAGTTATATATGTGTAGGTTTAAAGATTGATTTGAACTCAGATCCTATCACAAGAGTCAGGTACCTTTCCACTATATTAGTCTGCCTCCTTGGTTGATAGCAATTGCCAGTGCTACAATTTTGTGTGATTTCAGCCATGCATTTAATAGCTTCTCATGAGCTCCGTGTGGATCAGAGAGAAATTCTGAAAGAGGAAAACTGAGGTACAAGTGGTTTCCTTAAGAGGACCAATAACTGTATTTTATACTTCTTTATAGTCCTGTTGTACTTAACACAAGTTATGTGTGTAAAGAGTCACAGTCATTATCAGATATTAATTGAGCACTTAATGTGACCCAACTCCTGCCCCCTAGAGACCTATGATCTAGTTAGAGAAGACAAACCTTGTACTCACGTATTCCTTCGAGGCAGCATTAGTGTAGTGGATTGAGCACTTAACTTGGAAATTAGGAAAATTTAGATTCATATTCTAACTCCAACTTTACTAACTGCGTATTTGTCACTGGGAAGATTGCTCAACTTCTTTGTGACTTAGTTTTCTTATCTTAAAACAAAGGCTGTGGACTTTTTAGAGTTCCTTCCAGCTCTGTATCTATGATTCTTTGTTCTTCTTTTGCATTAATTAATAACCAATTTAATTCAGTCAATTTAGACTGAATTATCTGGGCACCACATTAAAGAAACTACATTAACAAGCTGTAGAACACTCAGAAGAGGTTAACAAGGATGATGAAGGACTTTTGCCATAAGGTGATTGTGATCAAAGCTATAGTATGGTATAAGATCAAGTGAAAATGTGTATTTAAAACATTTTGAAATTCTTGAAGGATTATGAATATTACGATTTTTAGATGATAGTGGGGTAGGAGCAACTGTTTAGAGAAAATTTATTTGGTAAGGAATCTTATGCTTCTCTTAAATACTTGGTGCATCAAAAAGGAAGTTTTGAACAATGAAATCAGATCTATATTATTGGGGCTAATGAAGGAGAGTAATGAGGTGGATAATTAAAAATGATATGGCTTTGGCATGCATTTTTATTCCCATTTTCTGGAAGAGTAATTTACAGTGTTCCAGGGCTTCATGACCTTTTTTTGTGTCAGGAATCCTTGTGGCATTCTTGTGAAGCCTGAGAGCCCTGTCTCAAAACAGTGTTGAATGAATAAAATAAAACATGTAGGATCACAAAGGAAACCAATAATATTGAGCTATAAAATATCAATTTGTTTTTTTTTAAGTTCACTGACCCCACTTTAGTGTTCCTAAAGCATGATACTGATGATTTTATTCTTTGACTTAAAATCTCAAATTGTTCCCAGTTGCCTTGAAAATAAATTATAAATCTCTTATCCAGTCTTTCAAGGCCCTTTACAGTTTGTCCTTTTCTTTTATGCATAATCCACTCCTTGATCTAGCTCAGCTTCTGAATGTTTTAGGAAAGTGCCTTTTTCTTCTCTCTTTGGAAGCCCTGAAGCTTTGTTGCTTTGGGCACCTGTTAAATTAAGTGGAAAACTTGTCTTGGTCTGTGCTAGAGGATATATGACTAAATGAAATAAATAGTCTTTGTATAACTCACTTTAATCAATTGATTAAATTTTTTAATGAAGGTAATGGTGGGTAAGTGAATGACAATGGTGGTGGTTGTTCTAGCTGTTGTTTTAAGTGATAGTTATTGGTTTGACATGTCACTACAGGTAAGCATCCATATCAAAACGTTTTGGGGGGAAAGTTTGATTGGAAATTAAAAATTGGATTCACAGGAGTAAGTGGTGGGGATAGACTAACCAATAAGCATTTATTAAATGCTTCCTATATGCTAGACTTTATGTTAAGTCATTGGGGTCCAAAGGAAAATAAAAAACACGGACCCTGCTCTCAAGGACCTTGAATTCTAATGGGGGAAGATATACAAATGACTACATATAGACAAGACACATATTTATTGTTCAGTTATGTTGTGACATAAACTGATTTTTTTCCCCGTCTGATGGCTACTGTTGAATTTTCCAAATTTACTGGCTTATTTAGTGCAGCATTTTAATAGTATCATCTTTTAGGATTTTAAATAGCTCAGCTAGAATTCCATCAGCTCCTGTAGCCTTATTGTTAGCAGTGCTTCCTAAGGCCCACTCGACTTCATTTTCCAGAATGTCTGCCTCTAAATCAGTAACCATACCGTGGTGATTATTGGTGATGTTAAAATCTTTCTTATATAGTTCTTTTGTGTATTATCATCACCTCTTCTTAATCTCTTCTACCTCTCTTTAGTCCCTACCATTTTTGTTTCCTGTCATGGCCACTGCAAGAATTGTTACCTGAATACCTGTGATTTTCTTGGGGAGATCTGTTATCTTTCCCATTCTGTTGTTTTCTTCTGTTTCTTTGCATTGTTCATTTACAATGTAAATGCAATATAGTTTCAGGGAGGTGCGAGACTGGGAAAGATGTCTTAGGAAGGTGGGATATGAGCATCGAGGAGGTGAGGAGGGAGAATGTTGTAGGCATGGGGGAGAACTAATGAAAAGGAGGTAGTGTTATATATAGGGAATAGTAGATCAGTGTAGCTGTGTCTTAGAATGAGGTGAGATAGGGATGTAATAAACCAAAAAACAGATTGAAAAGCTAGAAAGGGTATATGTTGTGAAGAGCTTTAAATGCCAGACAGAGGGTTTTATGTATTTGATCCTGGAGACAATGAGAAACTACTGGAGTTTAGTGAGGGGTAGTACATGTGGTAAGATGATAACTTTTGCAACTGAGTGGAGGATGGATTGGAGTGGAGAGAAATGTGAGGCAGGAAGTCCAACCAGAAGGCTGTTGGAATTGAGAGATGATAAAAATCTATACCAGGGTACTGGATTGATGAAGTTGTATATAGTAGCACTGTTATTTTTATAAATTGCATGGCTTGAATGGATTGGGTACATTGTGTAAATTTGACTTGAGGAATCAAGGATTAGAACGTGTGTGGACCAAAAGGATGGTGGTTGCCTCAACAAATAACATAGAAGTTGAGGAGAGATTTTTGGGAGAAAAGAATGATTTCTGTTTCGGATTTGTTGAGTTTGAGATGCCTATGGCACATCTAATTCAAGATGTTAAAAGGTAGTTGATGATGGGAGACTGGAGCTGAGGAGAGATAGGACTACATAAATAGAAATAGGAATCATCTGTCCAGAGGTGATCATTGAATACAAGGGAACTGATAAGATCACCAAACAAGACAGTACTGAGGTAGAAGAAGAGAGGGCCCAGGACAGAGCCTTTTTGGATACATCCATTGTTAATGATTGTGACCTTGATGAAGAGTCAGCAAAGGAGATTGAGAAGGAATAGTAAGACATGTAGGTGATGATCCAGGAGAAAGTCCTAGTGTCCTGAAAATCTAAAGAGCATTTAGGAGAAGGTACTGGATGGCATTATAGTTATAAAGAAGTGTCCCAGGTCCAGGAGAGTGAAGATTGAGGAAAAACAGTTATATTTGGCAATTAATACATCACTGTTAACTTTTGAGAGAACCAATTCACTTTATTAAGAGGAGAAGTTGGCTTGGAGAGAGTTTTGAAGGCCCTGAGAGTAGAGGAAAGCAATACATCAAAAGAGAAACAGATTTCTCAAGGAAATTTTCCCAGAAAGGAAGGAGTGCAACAAGATGATAGTTAGCCATGATAGTGAGGTTAAGTGAGGAATTTTTGAGAATGTGGAAGACATGGGACTATGTATAGGCTGTAGGTAGAGAGAGATAAAACAATTTCAATGGGAGGGTTAAAAGTGGGTACAATATACCAAAGAAAATGAGGGGGGAGGTTGGGATCAAAGTTGCATGTAGAGGACCACCTCTTCATGTGAGAAAGGAGGAGATAAATGGGGGAATACTTGTGAGTTCTTGTGAAATGAGGAGAGAAGTTATCTGTGAATGGCTCCAATTTTTAAAATAGGAGTCAGTGTTCTCACCAGAGAGTGGGGAGAATGAATGCCTTGGTTTGAATTAGCTGCTGTGATGTGTAAGGAAAGCATGTCTAATAGGGAAGTGCAAAAAAATTGCTTTGCTGAAGGTAAGGCCCAGTTGAGATAATGTAATAAATTAGCAGTGAAACAAATCAACCTCTTCCCCCCCCCACACTTTTTTTTTTAAAAAATATTATGCACCATCAATCAATATGGACCTTATTTCTCTTGGAGAAGTTTATACTTTAAAAATTAGCTGTAGTTTTGAAATGACTTCTACTCATAACCCATATGCTTTAGTCATATTGGTCCATATTTGATACTTATTCCCATTTTCCTTACCTGTATTATTTTTTGTTGCCGTTCCTTTTCCTGGGTACATATTTCCAATGTCACTTTCCTGATTCTATAGGTCCCCAAGAGTAATCCTCTGTGAGGCCTTCTTTGACCATTGCATACCTACTACCCTCTCAGCAACTTATTGTACTCACTATTGTCCTATGCCATGCTGTAAAGTACTTAACTGTAATTCACCTTAAGTGTTCTGTGAATTGTTTCATGGGTTTTAGTGTCATGTCCCCAGTTAGAATGCCAGCTTCTTCAAGACAGAGGGAATGTATCCTATGTTTGTTTTCTATTGCCCTGTTGCGTCGTGGTCAATTATGAGAACATATGTCAGTACTACAAGGATCTGTAATTTCTGTGGTTCTACTACCCTTCAATACAAATTGTAACATTTCCATCATTGCTTACTGAATGGTCTTCTATGCAAATAATAAGAGAAATACAGTACAATCTTTGTTATTGTAGTCATGGACTCAAGGAATTTTTCAAGGTCAAAAATTATTTCTCCTCCTTGTTCAATTTTCTAATAGCCTGAAAGGAAGAATCATAAGGGCTTTAAGACAAAGTTATTTTGCTTTATTCTTAATTATTACTTTATAGTAACATCCTAACTAGTTTTATGAATGATATACAATGACAAAAGGCTAAATAAATAATTTTTGTATTCCAGTTTAACTTTGTTGGAAGAATCCTTGGGCCCAGAGGACTAACAGCTAAACAACTGGAGGCCGAAACAGGGTGCAAAATAATGGTCCGAGGAAAAGGCTCAATGAGGGATAAAAAGAAGGTAAGTCTTTGAAAAGGGGTGGAAATGTAAGGGGAGGGGGAGAGAGAGAGTGTGTGTATCTACACACACACACACACACACACACACACAAACATACCTTCTGTACTTTTGACCTTTTCTGAATAATAGTTGATTGTGCATTACTTTATGTTTAGTAAAATTTATCAATAAAAGGTGTAAAATATTTTGAAGTGATAATCATTTTTATAATGTGATCATCAAACCTTCCATGTTTAACATTTATTTTTCAGTTAGCCAAGGGCAACATAATTTTCACCATCATATTTGCGGATACCTAAGTTTGCAGTTACAAACCTGGAGAATTAATCAGAATGTGGTAATGTGTAGACAAAAATGTGTCATTGAGAGTCTGAGACATTACTTTTCTGTTGCCAAGGATAGCATGAGAAATATTAAGTAAGTAGTTTTGGATAGCTTGTCAAAACACTTGTGTATACACTTGCATGGATATACAATAAAATAAAACAAATGGTTACCCAGATACAAGTCATTCTCTTTATATCTGTCACTTAGTACTTGTCATTGAGATACTAAAGGATTTACCTTTAGGGTGATTTGGGAAGAAAGTGATTTTGAGGCCTTAAAGTACTATTTTAAAAGTGAGTTATTCTTTACTTTTCAAACTCATAGAATGTTTCCTTTTATCTCCACGTTTATTTTTACTGCATTTTGATTAGTGTATCTAGGAAGCAAGGGCAAATAGTTGAAAATAAAAAGTGTTATGTGGACTTCTAAGAACAGTGTGACAGGTACAAATACTCAGAATTAGCTGAAGGTAACAAGGAAATCCAAGCAAAATAGCATGTATATTTAATGCTGTATTAGGTTCAAGAATGGATAGAACTGTTGTTACTGGGAAGTTAGAGGGTGGGAACTAATTGATAAAGAAAGCAGCACTGCTCAACTCAGTTCTTGCCTTGCTTCTGTTTTCTTTGCCAAGGGAAATAATCTTTGGACTGACAAGGTGAAAACAAAAATGGCTAATAGGGAGTTAGTACCTAAAACAGGTGAGGAGATAAGAAATAAGAAGAATTCGTGATGAGTTCAAGTCACCTGATCCAGGTGAAGTATGTACTGAGGTACAAAAAGCATTGATAGATTTGGTTACCGAGCTACTATTAATGATCTTTTTAGGAAAAGATGTCACAAGAAGAGTAAATGTTCCAGCATTCAAAGGGAAAGAGAATCAGGTCTACAACTCTAGGCCAATGAATCTGTCTTTGATTCTTGGAAAAATTTGGAGTTTGATTGGATCTAATTCATTTTATAGGTAAGGAAACCTGAGGGTAGATAGGTTGTTAAATGCTTAGGGTTAGGGTTAGCTTTAGCAAATAAATAAATAAATAAATAAATGAAGTAAATGACATAGTCTGAATTTGAATCCAGTTAATCTAACTCCAAAGCTTGTGATCTTTGTGGTGTACCCTGCTGTTACCCTGAATGGTCATATCAACTCCCCAAAATACCTTTAGAAGTTTTCCAAAGACTATGAAATTGAGTCCAGACTTCATTATCCTGCATTCCATTCCTACTCTGTGATCTGGCTTCAACTCATCGATATGGTCTACTACAGTATAGTATAGGACTCTTTGTCCTGTCTTCTAGCCAAGCTATACTACTTATCACTCCCTTTCCCAATGATGAACCATATATCTAGAATTAATTGCCCCATTACTTTCTTTCCTCCATATAAAAGAACAACCCATATCCCACCCATTTTGGGGGGTGGAGTGGGGCAGGCAATGGAGTTAAGTGACTTGCCCAGGGTCACACAACTAATAAGTGTCAGGTGTCTGAGTCTAGATTTGAACTCAAATCCTGACTCCAGGACTAGTGTTCTATCCACTGCGCCACCTAGCTGCCCCATATCCCACCCTTTGAAGCCCTTCATTTCCTTTAAGACTCAGCTCAAAGTAGGAGTTGGGAACCTTTCTTGACATCCTCAAGCTGGAGGTGCTTCTTTCTAAAAAGTTTTCATTGCACATATAGTTGTATTTAAAAGAAATGCAGCTTTGTTCTTATGAATACTCTATGGCCCTTTCTTACCACAATAATGAAGTACTGTAGCCACAGAAAAAAGTCTTATCATCTTGATGTCAACTTTGTGGATAGAATATTCTCTAAATCTGACTAGGCTGGTTCTTATATAAAATCCCATCGCTGGATAGTTATTGAATTATTCCCAGCTTTATACTTCTTTGGAATGGCTTTTGAGAACCCAGTCTCACCTCCACACTGTAATGATGGAATGAAGCAAAGCTGTGTGTGTGTGTGTGTGTGTGTGTGTGTGTGTGTGTGTGTGTGCATATGTTAATATGAGAGAGTTATTTTTTCAGACATTGAAGACTGCCAGGTCATTGTCATTGTGTGACATGTTTGTTCCCTTTTAAGATAACTCATTATTTTTCTGTTTTGGTACCTTTTTTGTATCCTTTTGACTATTCCCTTTTGGAATGAGTAGAACTTCAGGATGTGATCACTAGTTATTTGATATAGACTCACTTTTGGGCTTCAGAAAAAAACTTTGTAATTAGTGACATTTAATGCACAACGCAAAGGTTTAGTATTAAGTTACTTAAAGAATCCATGATTTCTTCTGTGTGGTGCTCCTTATGACATAGTTGGCAATACTTTTATTGCTAGTTATTATGGTAAAGAAATATTACTGGTTAATTCTTAGGTGAAGATTCTTTCTCAACTTGGCTATATTAGTCCTCACATAAGAGAGATACTGCCTATCTCTGGATCCTTATTCAAAACCTTTCCAGTTTGTCATTACTAGAGGGATCATTACTGTACAGTGATACATTGTGATAGAACTTTAGTGGAAGCCATACATATAGTTAGACATTTAATGTAATAAATCAGTTGTTTGGATATCATGGAAAAGAAACTTTAAAAGATAAATGGGAATGAGAAAAAGTGCTTGATTTAATGAGACCAGATAGATAACATTATAAATTTATGTTAAAATATCACCTGTTTTTACATAGCTAATTGTGCTTTTCTACCCCTTAGATTGTAAGTTCTTTGAGAGCAGGGTCTATCTTTTGCCTTTTTGGTATCCCTAGCACTTCATTGGGCAGGTAGGTGATACAAGGGATAGAGCACTGGAGTCAGGAAGATCTGAGTTCAAATTCAGCCTTGGCCACTAGCAGTGTGATCCTGGGCAAGTCATTTAACTCTGCCACAGTTTCCTCATCTGTAAAATGAGCAGACCCCTCCAGTATCTTTGCCAAGAAAACCTCAAATAGGATCAAGAAGAGTTGGACAGGACTGAAAGGACAAAACAACAACAAAAGCATTTAACACTGTACCCGGCACCTAGTAGGCACTTAAATGCTGGTTAATCTAATGGGTCTTTAGGCCATTGGACCTTTTCTAATTTTTGTTTTTGGCCTAAATTCTAACCTTGAACATTTTGAAACAAATTTATGTGCATATTTGTGACATGGAATGCCTTTTACAATTTAAAGCTTACTGATCACAGTAAATTATTAGCAAAGGCACCTTGGTTCGTGCTGTTATAACTGTAGTTATGTATTATAATCAGTGTTATAGGTAGAGCCAAAGATACAGGATTCTGCCGTCAGTTGTTTGGATATCATTCTGGAAAAGAAACTTCAGAAGATAAATGGGAAGGAGAAAAAGTGCTTGATTTAAGTGAGGTCAGATATTTGAAGTGTGGTTCGAGAGTGACAAAGAAAATAGTTGTACAGTTGTAAATTTTTTTTCGTTTGCTTTGTTTTTTGGCTAGGCAGTGAGGTTAAGTGACTTGCCTAGGGTCACACAGTTAGTAAGTGTTACGTGTCTGAGGCCAGATTTGAACTCGGGTGTTCCTAAATCCAGGGCCAGTGCTCTATCCACTGTGCCACCTAGCTGTCCCCATACCTTTATACTCTTAAAAATTAGTGAGCATCCCTCAAGAATAAAATCCCAAGTCTTAGCCTCTTATTCACTGCCCTCCCAAATGCTGTCCCTTAGCTATAATTCCAGGCTTATTCTCATTTCTCTATTGTGGAACTTGGAATTTAGCTAAACCAAACTCTGTCGTCTTTTCTCCCATTGCTAATGGTATATCACCCTTAAAGATACAAATGAGAGGTCGTATGAAGCCAAATTCCTTGATCTTTCCCTGCTCTAAGTTCCAATATTTCTTTGTACATCCCTAAATTTAAATAATTTTTTTTTATTATTCTTATGGCACTTTTCACTGGTTTTATTTTTCAAATATCTTTTTTAAAACAATCTTCCTTTACATGCTGTAATGTTCTTGAGTGTAGAGATTATATTTATGCCTCCCATATCCACTAGCAGAGAAGCTGATCTCTTGTCCAGTTCTCTTCTGCAAACTTCTTTACTGGTTTTCAAATCTACTTTCTTTACATTTTTACAAATTTTAATTTCCCCATTAGTACAAGAGATTTTGAGTTTAAATCTTTTAACAGTTGTCTACCTGTTGAAGTTTTTTTTTTTTTAAATGCCTGTCTTGACTTTTAGGAAAACAGTTTGATATTAGCTTGGGAATTCAATTAAATGGCTATTTCTTAACTCCGTCAGATAAATTATATATATGTATTCAGTTTTATGGTTTAAATAGGAAGATACAGGTCTGTACTAATGATGTATTGTCAGTAAATAGAGGAAACGTAACTGCTTAAACAGAGATCAGGAAAGTATTATAAGCAATTCACATAGGAGATCATAGTGACTCATGTACACTATTTTAAAGATGTTTGTCACCCTTTAAATTCACTATGAGTTGTTCTCTCAATGCTTTTCTTTTTCTTAGCTATTTTTTACTACCCTTTTTTCACTAGTATAATTTAGAGATAGTGTTTTCTTTAGTTTTGATGATTTGTAACTAACTTACAACAAAGTCCTTTCTATATTTCTATAAACATACCTTTCTGAATGAAATTCAGAATGAATATTTTTAATTCAACCTTTTGAAATGTTATGATTTAATGAAATTGCAG